CTAAAGGGTCGTCGGGATCGGGTGAGAAGCGCCATGTTGGGGGTAATACTTGTAAAAATCGTGCCCAGTATCCTCGGGTATTCTTAAAAACGTGGGTGCTGATCATAATGGCAAAACACGCTGAAACCGTTCTCGACTGACCTCCCCTCGAAGTCGATCCACCACCGAGAGTTGCGGCGATGACGGGTTTGGCGAGGTCGAGAATGGCGTTCTGTACCGAGGGCCACAGGAATAAGAAAACTAACAGCGCCAGGACGTCGACGCAGAGAACCGTGACGAGGGACGGCATCGTCGAGTGCCAGTCCAGCAGTTCCGCAAGGTGGACGTTAACGACGGAGTGGGCCGTGAGGGGCGAGGCGAATGTGAGGACGGTGAAAACAGTGTAGATGACGGAGAGGGTTAGGGGGGACACGTGCATGAGGATGAGGAGGATAGCGAGCGTGTCATGGAGGGGAAGGGACATGAGGACAGTTGCCGCGTAGTCGAGGGGCCCGGGATCACGATGTACATCGCCAGAACACTTGGAGGCGTTTACATCAATCTGGCGCGGCTCGTTGGCTCCCAGAGCGGAGGCGGAGTAGGACTGGTAATGCTGATGATGGGACTGGTGGTGGGACTGGAACGACTCGGCCGACGTGGATGTCTCCGAGTCGGCACCTAGCGACGTCCGCCGCGGCAGGTGAGAGCGACCGTCGATGCCCATATCGTCGGAGGGATGCGGCTTCGAGTAGCCGTTGATGTTGCCGTTGATGTAGCCGTTGGCGGCGTAAGGGAGAGGGGCGGCGGTTCCATTGGCGTTGCCAATCGCGGCCGACTGTGCGGACAGCTGCTGTGGCGATGATGCTGCTACGGTGGTCGTGATGGTGGTTGTGGTCGTCGAATTCGAATTCGCCGCCCTGCTCCTCTCGTCTGGGTGGCCACCGCTGTTCTTGCTTCTCGAAACCTTCTTGCCGGGGGCTACCAGGCCATTGTCGTGTCTGGCATGACTCGTCGAGGCGGGCTGTTGTCGCTTCCCCGAGGCCGTCCCACGAGGCATGCGCGACCGCTGATCTGCCGCCCGAGAACCTGGCGCACAGGTCAGGGTCAACAGAGAACCTGCTATGGTGAACTCTCTACAAGGGTAGAGGCGAGACGGGGGATGCTAAGGCGAAGGTTTTGGTGAGGAGGAATGGTCGGTGTCGTGAGATCGGACAAGTGTTGAGAGGTCGTCGTCGAGGTACGATGAACAGATCGGGATGGTGAGGCCGAGTCGGGACAAACCCAGTCTGATCGATTCTTCCAAAAGGAATAAACAATACGGGCGGGCCTGTGTCAAATAAAGAGTCCACGGACGGATTGTGTATCTACATGTATGGCTGACCGCGCGGGGGAGAGATCTGATTCAGGGATCAAATGCAGCCTTTTGTGGACTATTCTCCGGATGTGAGGTCAAGGTGGCGAGGGTGGAACTGCGATCTTGAAAGACGCTGGGCAGGAGATGTAAGGGAAAAATTCATTGCCAGTTGGTCAGCGCTGGAGAGAGGGAGGAGCGGCTGGTAGTGCCGTATTGGCACTGTGAGCATGTGGTACCTCTCCCTTGTCTCGACCTTGCATGGGAGTGGATGGCTCGGAATAGAAACGGATCCATTGTCCCCGCTGCCAGCCAGTATTGTGCTGACGCCATGCCAGCTACTCCACATGTACATAGTATCCATCATCCTTGTACTAAAAGTATCCCTGCTATAATTAGGGCATCCTTCGACAAATGCCGTCGAGATGGGATGTTCTCTGCAAATAGACGAATAACAATGGGTCTCTCCTTCGCGAGACTATTCCGACCCATTCATCTTACTTGTATCCCACCCAGAATAGCGCCGGGTTATTCGACGAGAGGCTTGTATTACAAGTACGAGTATGAGTAAGTCAGTTCCACCTTCTCCGAAGACATTGGTCTCCCGAAATTGCTTCGACCTTTCCCACTTTAACCGCGAGGAAAGCTTGTCCCTTTGTTCCATCCTACGGGTACTAGAAGAGTCACATAATCCTGATGCCTACAAGTACGCGCGCTGCTCCATTCTGCAGCCCTATCGTAGGTTGTAAATTAGGGTTGTCTCCAGTATTCTCTCTTCTTTACTTCCTCATTAGGCAGCCAAGTCTCTGCCGGCAGTAATATGGTGTGTGTTACGACCAAGATATTGTTAATACTCGTAACGCCACTAGACTTGGGAAGGATTGGGTGGTAGTACGTAGTACAGGGTACATGGCCAGCAGCGGTACATTATAGAGAGAATAAAAACAGTACAGTCACTGTGCACTTTGTGTAGTCCTAGGACTGGCCCGCTGGCAGCATGGGTCCTGTGCCCACGGTGAAACTAGCTGGGAAGTGGGTTCATCCAGCCCCATAGGTGGGTATCATGCCTTAGCTCTAACACTGCACCTGAGTTGGCAGGCTCTGCACTCTGCACTCTGCACTCTGCACTCCTGCCTGCACTCTGCACTCCGTAGTAGTGGCCGGCTCATCTCTTGCTAAGAGTTGGCGAGACCCACTTGTGTCTCATACAACATCTGTTCGTAGCAATACTCCTATCCAACCTTATCCATCGGTATCGCTTACCCATCCTAGCTTGTGATTTTGTTCATGCGTGAGGATACTAAAGTACGAGTACGAGTACTCGAAAACCTAGGAATCTCGGGCCCAACTCGGACGCCGCAAGCCCGCGCCCGTGACGAGACACAACCAAGGTCGGCCGGTAATTAATACCCGTACTCCCTGTAAGCCGTGCGCGACTCACGATTCTCCATGACATCCACCAATCAATTTCACCAGTACCAGTGCGGCCCACTCCCCGAATGCCGAATCAGCCCTCGCTTTCCCCAAAAATCGATGAGAAAGCTGTCAGAGCGAAAACACATTCGTTCTACAACTCGCGATCGTCGTTCTCGATGCGGGGGAAGGGGGGAGGCCTACTTCGTTTCGCCATTGGTAATTACCGACTCTATCATGCTTATCCGCTCATCACTTCGCCGAACTAGTAGAAATTGCTGTCGATCTCCTTGAGCTGACCGCGCACGACAGACAAAAGTGCATTGGAGGAGGATGTGCTCCAATGGGAAGAGGGTGGGGGGACGGGGGGACACGGGAAAGCAAAAAATGAAGGGGAGAGAAAGAAGAAGAAAAAAAGTGACCTGCATTCAAGGTGATACCAGCGCAGGGAGCGATGTACTCTTACTCGTACCTCAGAAGTATATACTCCACAAAGCCGTGTCGTCGCTTGCGCGATTCTTCAACTTGGCGGGGAGGGATTACAATTCTGGAGCTCTCCTCCTCGGGAGCTAATCCTTTCTCATCCCTTGTACAGCCTACCCCTGTAATGGCGTCCACGATCGGGCTCGAAGGAGAAAAGGGAATGTAAGGGGCCGCGGTGGCGAATCGAGGGTTGTCTGCCGGCACTTGAGTGTTTGGGGGTGTGGTGGGCAACCTTCCGTCGCTTCCGTCTCGGTCACGTTGCCTAAAACAGTGCTTGTACACAAGAGAACACAGGTACCTGTTCTGGTATGGTGCCCTCTGTGGTAGTACCACGAATGGGGAGGGGGCAAGGTTCAGGGGGTTGGAGTCCGGGAGGTTGGCAAGGGAGGAGGCACCATATCAAAGTACTTTGTACTGGCTCGTTCGCCACAATACCAGGTCGACTGGGTGAGATCGGCGCATACGTCGGAGTCAGAGAGCGGGGGAGGTACCTCGCACACGAATAAATTGCCTGGGGCGACCTAATGTCCTCTGAGCTGGGTCGTCCTCGTATATACAAGTAATTTGTACCCAGACTGACCAGGTCGTTGTGGGTCTTCACAAGCGGCCGCCCCCACTTCCCGTTTTCATCTTCACCTCGGCCATCGGCTGGACACAGGAAGATACGAGTACTTGTACGGATTAAAGTAAGACTAATATTCGGAAGTTTCCTCCATGAGATAGACAGCTGTCGGCTACAATTTGCCACGAGCTGTCATGGACCACTGTTAGCGCTAGCTCTTGGTGTAAAAAAGAAGAAGAAGAAGAAGAAGAAGAAAAAAAAAGGAAATCTTGAAATCGTGAGTTCCTCTAAGCGACGGCCCGCCCGAGGGAATGTGGCAACTAGCTTTCGGCGATCATAGTGCGAAGAGAGAGAGAGGCTAAAGAAGGCCTTCACGACTTCTCCGATCCCCCCACGTCACGAGCATTAGAGACGACCCATCCAGCTGGCCTTGGTTCGTTCTCATACTCCCTTGCCGAGTCGTTTGTCGAGCTGCCGGCATTCAAAGAAACTCTCTGCACGTGCTCGTACAAGGGCAGGTCGATCCTCGATTCCTTTTTTATTATTCTGGCGGTGAAGAAAACAATCCTTCGTACCCCACCTTACCACCACATCTCACACACGTTAAAGTACCTCGTTTATCATCATCGCCAACAGGCGCAAGAGTCAGCTCACCCTGTCCATTCCCATCCATCCTTGAAGGTTCGTATGTTAGCGCCATGGTACACAATCAACCGAAAAAGAAAAATCAGCGATTGGTGCCTCTCCTGCCGAGAAAGCGAACTTTCGCATCGAAAAGAGTAAGAATGTGAGTGGATCGACTACAGCTTGGCAATGCAACATATTACACGACAGAGGAACCGCAACCTTGTAAGTCATAACCTTGTTCGGATTAATGCAGGGCGAGGTGGGCGAATGGGAAATCCCCTGCCCCTCCATTTACCCCTCCTCTCCCGAGATGCGGAGAGAGAGAGCGGAGAGGGGCGGAGGAGAGGGCGCTGGGTGCTCGCATGACCACAATTGTCGCGATTATCAGCGGCATCTTAATGGGTCGGCTAATATGTAAGGCAAATTGACGAGCTTGTTGGAGACAGAACGATATCTATGTAGGCTACATGCGAGTACAAGGACGAGTACGCAAATGTATCTACCAATAAAAAAGACCAGGACGAAGATACATGCAACCTAGATCCCTAAAAGAGTACAAAATAAAGGGACAAAAATATAGAATTTTGATAACAGTGAGATTCGAACTCACGCCATGAAACCATGACCAGGAATTAATCGTTAAGGAATACCTTAACCTGGCGCCTTAGACCGCTCGGCCATGTTACCAGTGATTGATGGGAAAGAGCGCCTGTGGAGGCAAAAATAAACCAGAGCAAGAGAGATTGGAACACAATAAAACAAAAAACATGTAATCGTGATAACAGTGAGATTCGAACTCACGCCATGAAACCATGACCAGGAATTACTCGTTAAGGAGAACCTTAACCTGGCGCCTTAGACCGCTCGGCCATGTTACCAATTGATGGTGACCCTATGTCGTATGTGGGTACAATAGGCTAGGGCGGAGCTACAGGAGTGGACTCTAACATATCAAGAAGAAGAAATATTCCCGAATCCCGAAGGGGGAGCAGCGGAGAAGTCCACTGGATGACGGAGGAGGGTGAGGGTGGTATCTAAAAAAGGAGAGGGGGCCGCGATAAAGTTAGGTTTTGGTATATCGGAAGCAGATATGCCGTGCTCTCGAATATAGGGTGGCATGTTACTTGCATATTCTCCATGGAGATAAATATCACCCGTATAAGTCGGCGTAACACAATGAGTGGTGTGGTCGGGATCCTCTGTTACATGCACGGAGAGAAGCACCCCCTCTTCCCGCTCCCCCTCATGCTGCAGCTCTCCTCCTAGCCATCCATCATGGACAAGAGATAAACAACAGGAACTTTCGCTAGCGGCAACGTCGTGATACATGAAGATCCCGGTGAAGATTGGTAACTTGGTAGAGAAGCGGGACAGCACGCCCACCCACCACTCGTTTGCCATCGCGTGACCCCCCCCCCCCCCCAATTCACTACCGCCGAGGATATGAGTTCCTCGTCCTGTAACATAGGTTGATCTTCTCCCTGGCTGCCCTCCCAACCGAGGAGCCCAGTGGCCCCAGGACACAGCTCAATTGATGATATCATCCCTAGGCCCGAAGACAAAACTACACTCACCTCGCCTCCGTCTCACGACGATAGAACCACCACCATGTCTCTTCCGGCGGTAGCCGCAGTACCGCCGCCGAGGATAAGCGTCACTATCTGATGCACGACTAAGCATCCAGCAGCCAACAAGTCAAATTTGAACGGAGAGCGACTCCCCAGCTCTCCAGCACCGGCCTTGCTATGGAGGAATACACATGCTCTTCGTATGATATGCAGTTCCACAACTGAACGTAGGTATCCGTAAACTCTAGGTCTGCCTCTATCGCCCCCCCGTCAGCCCCAAACAAACCCCGCGCCGTCTACTCCAACTCGACCCGCCTGTTCTGTATCTTCCCGAGCCAATCCCTCACCTGCTCAGAGACAAACATACTACACACTATTCCCCGACACCGTCAGCTCGCCGCCCAAACCAGGATGCAAAGGGAAAGGAGGAAGAAAAGGGAGGGGGGACTCACCCTCCTTGGTGCAAAAAGCATGTGGAAAGTTTCCGCCATCAATGACAATCTCCGTACTCCCCTTCTTACGGCCCCTCATCCTCTTGATGAACTCGTCCCTCAACTCACATGAGACCCAATGATCCACCTTTGCGAACAAGAACATAAACTTGGGCACCCGCTGCCTGTGCTCCTCGTCCCCCTTTAGCACCTCCCACAGATCCTCCTCCCACTCATCGTCCGCGATGGCCGTCATCTCATCGCGGCCCATGTACAGCGTCTGCCATATCGCGTCGCGGCTCTTCAGGAAGCCGGCCGCGGTGGCGGCCGCGCGCGGGCTGAAGCGCATCAGGAAGCGGCACCAGGCGTAGAGGACGAAATAGGGGACGAAGAATAGTAGGAACCTGAGGAGGCGGTGGAGGTGGTCGTTGAGGAACGAGAACTGGCATATGAACGTGAAGAAGCGGCCGCACTGGGAGCGGGCGATGTGCGTTATGGTGGGGCAGAGGAGGATGCCGTGGTGGAGCTTCAGGTGAGGCGCTGGGGACGGGTCAAGTTTGTGGCGCTGGAAGATCTCGAGGGCGATGTACGCGCCGACGGAGTGGCCGATGACCACTACAAAGTCGTAGGGCTGGCCGGCGGACCCGTCCGGCGCGGGGATCCGGCGCTGCGAGAGGCTCTCATAGGAGATGGTGATGTGGTCCTCGAGGTTGTACGGGGGGCTTGCGCTCGTGAAGGGCGCGTGCTCGTCGTCGTGGAACCCGGGGAGACTCCGGCCGTAGATGTCGAAGGCTACGCCTTGCTGGATATCGTCCAGCTGGGCCCGCAGTGACTTTAGGAAGGGCTCATACCAGTCGACGAAGCCGGGGTTCCCGGGGATGAAGTAGACGAGGGCGTGGGCTCCGGTCTTGGGGGACGGCCGAGTAGCTGGGAGGAAGACGAAGTGCTTGGTGGCCATAGTGAGTGGTAGGTAGGGTGGGCCGGCGCAGAGCGGCAGGGTGGGCGAGTGGGAGCTCTGGGGTAAGTGCACTTAGAACGACGATATATTAACACTAAACAGGGAGAATGATATCGGTCGATATCACTAGGTTTTTAAGGTTAACGGCCGGTTCGCGAGGTCTCGGGGTATGATAGCGTTCCTCAAGCGGCTCAAGGCCACAAAGGAACATGCATTTTGTAGGGTTCACAAAGGTATATACGTAAGGATGGGTTCTAGGAAGTCTGAGGTAAGGCTCTAAAGTGTTTCCCGTAGGTGTTGCGTTCCGTCTTGGCCTTGTGAGATAAATGCTGCTCCCGAGGAAACCGATGAGGCAAGTGGTGAGAAGTTGCTCTTGCTCCTGGAAGCATGCATCAATTGGAGGGAGCTCGCATCTATCGGGGAGTTTTCTTTAACGGGTACTGCCCCTCCATGGATCTCGCGTTGACCCCACCATAGACGACCGACAACGGCATCGCATCATTCCAAGTGTCGCATATCGAGCTGCGCTTCGTTCCGAGTATTCCATTCAAGTTGGTTAGATCTTGTATAGCTGCCCTATAGACACCTTCGCTGCACACCATACACCACACACCACACATCGCATGAAATGGCGGGCACTGCGACACCAGGTGAGCAAACCCCTCAGATTGGCCGGCGAACACCCCCGCTAACGTTGATATCACATAGAAGGGTACTCGACGGGCGACAAGACCTCGTTCGGCTGGGTCACCGCACGGGAACGGTGGCCTGTAATCATTGTACGTACTCGGACTTCCGACTGCAACCACTGTCCCTCCTGTCGCTGACCCTCTGCTCTACTAGACTGGTGCCATCGACGATGTGCACAGGGCGGTGTTCAAAACTGAAGATCCGGAGGCCTTGCAGGAAGGCAAGGCAATTCTTGAGTCGCTAGCCAAGCTTAAATATGAGATTCAGCACGACCGAAAACTCTCGTATGGACCCTATATCTACCCCTAGCTACGTCTCCTGACTAACAAGCCAAGGCCCGTCGACGACGACGGCTTCCCCGACGTCGCCGCCTTCAATGACGAGCTGGCCAAGCTGGGGTCCCCCTCCTGGCTCGACGCCCCGTGGCTCTACACTGAATGCTACATGTTCAGGTAAAGATGGCACCCTTCATTCCCACCTTTTCCCGTCTCGACTCGCAGCCGCGCTAAGCAGCACAGATAGACGTATAAGCTCCTACTTCAAGAACTCCAAGCACTGGAAGGAGTACGACCTCTTCGCCCGCCAAAAGCTCTCTACCTTCCGCTCCTCCCGCCCCGCCGTTCTCGAGCTCGCAGCCCGCTACCGCGACCTCGTCACGCAGATCCAGGCCCATACCCCGGCCACCGCCTCCGAGGAGGCCGAGCGTCTCCTCTTCGTCGAGATGTGCGAGATCTGCCTCTGGGGCAACGCGACGGACCTCTCCCTCCTGACGACCCTCACCTACGAGGACATCCAGAAACTGCAGGGCGCCGAGGCGCGCAAGGCCTCCGAGGCCAACATCCTCGCCAACGACACCTCCACTGCCTTTGACCTCCTCAAGAAGGCCAAGGCCGAGGGCAGGGCCGACCGCCGCGTGGACATCGTGCTCGACAACGCCGGGTTCGAGCTCTACGTCGACCTGATACTCGCGGGCTACCTCCTCTCTTCGGGGCTTGCCACCACCATCGTGCTGCACCCCAAGAGCATCCCTTGGTTCGTGTCCGACGTCCTGCCCAGCGACTTTGCGCAGCTCATCGGCAGCCTCGCGAACCCGAAGCCGTTCTACGAGACGCCCTCGGAGGACGAGGTCCTGCAGGGCAAGACGCCCGAGCCGCTCGCCGAGGCCGACGCGGAGAACCTGCGGTTCTTGTTTGAGCAGTGGAGCAGGTTCCACGCGGAGGGGCAGGTGATTCTGCGGCCGAACAGGTTCTGGACGCTCCCTGGGAGCTTCTGGGAGCTGCCCACCCAGGCGACGGACCTGTACGAGGACCTGAAGGGGAGCGAGCTGGTTATCTTCAAGGGGGACCTGAACTACCGCAAGCTCACCGCCGACGTAAGCGATCCCAAGCTCCCTCCCTCACCCTTCTCCCTCATCTACGAACGAAACCGAGCTAATAAACCCCCGACCAGCTCGACTGGGACCCCACGACCCCCTTCACGAAAGCCCTCGGCCCGCTCGGACCGGGCTCGGGCGTCAACGTGCTGTCGCTGCGCACCTGCAAGGCCGACGTTGTGGTCGGGCTCGAGCCGGGCGTGGACGAGAAGCTCAAGGCCGCCGAGGGCGGCGGCGGGGACTCGGGGGCGAGGAAGTGGGCCTGGAGCGGGAAGTGGGCTGTCATCTCTTTCTCGCCGAAGGAGTAGGGGGGCATGTTATGGACCGAATGTGCAAGCAGACAGAGATCATGTTATTGGCGAGATAGACCTATATTTGAACCTAGAACCCTCCCCATAAACGAGGTACGATGAATATACACTCCAACTCCGTGCCATGCGCGATCCCCGAGGTATAATCAAGCCTCACCCCAAACCTTCCAGAAAACCTTAAAACGACCATAATACCTTTCCCGTCCATCCATGTCCCCCCAGCCAAGGCTTAGATCCCCTCATCCCAGTCAGTCCACCTCCTAATAACCTCGTCCACCCTCCCCACGCCCCTCCTGCTCCCCTCCACCTCGAACCACTCCCTGTGCTCCCTCCCGCAGACCTCGCACTTTCCCCTGG